GTTAAACTTTTTTCATCCACTTGATGGAAAAACTACCATGCAGTCTTTGCTTACCTATAAACCATAAACTGCATATGAAGAAGTGCATTTCATATTCCTGGGAAATTTTAATAGAGTACAGTAGAGCAATTGTTAAGCATTTGATGCTGAAGGTAAATTCATGATAAAAAGCATTTTTTTCTAAAGTCAAAGTACAAAAATTCTTCATAAATTTAGAGCAACTCATCTATTCTTTGCAAAAATGAGTTTCTGTACCCACTTAAACAATGGTACAAAAAAATTAACTGAGAGTAATTATTAAGGATGAAAAGAAGATGCTGTCTGAATGCGTCTTGAGACATGATGCCCACAAAAATATTCTTTGGGGGGGTACAAACCCTAAGGCCCAGCTCATTGCTCTACAATACTTTTACTCCTACTTGCACAAGTACAATGACAGAAAAAGTAAGCAATAAAAAGTAAATACCCTTTGTTCATTTTTTCCCAAAAAACACAAAACTGAAGCTACAAAGGGAAGGGTAGGAACTTCAAATAATTGTTTTTAATCACCACGAGAGTCTGACTGAGTTAAGCATGACTTATCAACCTTTCTGGAGTTTTCTTTGGCATAACTTTCTTCACTTGATCCTTGCAAGGCTTTAAAAAATTTCTCCCATCCATAGTAACTGCACTCGATTATCATTGTAGTCAGAGCACTAGGATGCCTGTCAGGTGACATCCTGGCCTCAACCAAGGCTTCTATGTAATCACCTTTACATGAATTTCTCCAGACATTGTAAATTGGAGTGGGAAATGGATTTAGCTCGGACAAGGAATAACTACAAAGAATGCGGCAAAGTCTTCCATTGCCATCAGAAAATGGGTGCAGATCAAGAAGTTCAAACAAAATCCAGGAACATGTCTTAAATAAGCTGTAAACGTCAATATCTTCATCGCGTCCTCCTTTCTCCTTGAAACAGGAATCATACAGAAAGTTGTATTTGTCAAGTAAGTTTATGACTGCACTCTCCATATCGTCTGGATTTGCGTAATGATATATCTCCCCTTTAAATTCGGTAACTCTTGCTTTGTTACTCATTTCACCAGGTTTTGTTAAACCTCCATGCTGGGGAATGTTTTGTAGTATAATGCATTTTTATTGGATCTTTCATATGATATATTGGAGCCTAGAAGCGTAGATCACTACATCATAAGAATCCTTATGCTTCTTTATCATTTAAAAGAAATAAGAAAATAGAATGACCTCTGCACCTTGTCCAATTGCTCTTTCCATTCAAGTTTGTTGTCAGTGACCACTCCTAATAATTTAGTATAGCTGTCTTTCCAATCATGATGCTTTCAAACAATTAAATCACACAACGACATTCAATTGATGAAGTAAGTAGCAACGTTCACTTTTTTACCTCCGTAAATCAAGGTTTGGATCTGTCCTGGGACATTTCAGGATTATGACATGAACAAATATACCAATATCTGTTTATGAATAACATCTAGCATTTCTAATGCTATTGATACGGTTTTCCGTTTTTAGCTGTAGAGGCGTACACAAATGATCTGAAAGCATCAATCAAAAGTCAAACTGAATTCCACCCTCTTACTACCCATACCAAGCCTGGGTGAAAACAGGTGACATCTTCACAAGTCTTCTCATGCAAGACGGACGGAAGCCAGTTGAAGACCTTGACATGGAAAGAGAGGAATACCTCCGCCGGTACGGTCATGTGAGTGGAAAGCCAATAAAATATCCTCAAGAGATGTTTCTTTCAAATACCAATACTGACGAAGAAACGAATCCCAAATTTGTTCTTGTCACCGGGAAGGCAGGGATTGGTAAAACACTTTTTTGCCAAAAGTTGATTCAAGATTGGGCTGACGACAAACTGTTTCAATCTCAAACAAGTCCTCGCATCCCTAATTTTAAGTTCACATACCTGCTGACTTTCCACCAATTGAATTTACTGGGAAAGGACCACGTTTCGATGAAAGAAATCCTTAACCAATCATCAATGTTAGATGTCCACTCAAGTATCGATGAAACTTTATTTGAGTACATGGTTGATCATCCTGAAGAAGTCTTGATTATCATTGATGGGTATGACGAGCATTCACAACAAGATTTCATCGCTAGTGACTTGGATGACCAGTACCCGAATAACCCTCATGAAGAAATGCCAGTAGCAGCCCTGTGTGCCAAGCTAATCAAAGGAAAGCTCTTGAGAGGCTCAAGTGTTCTGATAACGTCAAGACCCGACGAGTCCGACAAAATTGAAGGTGGTCAAATCAACTTTGATCGATACTTTGAAATTACAGGGTTTTCCGCGCAGCAGGTGAAGGAGTATGTTGGAAAGTATTTTAGAGAAACCGAAGAAATGAAGAATGCTGTGATGGATCACATTACAAAGAATGACAATCTAGTCAGCCTTGCCCGCATTTCAGTTCTCTGTTTTCTGATGTGCTCATACTTTGAGTATATTCTGGAAAACTCTACGAACACTGATGCTCTTCCAGTCAACTCAAGTGACATTTATTTTGAAGTGATTGACATGTTTTTAAATTAACATCACAGGAAGGCCTCAACTTCCCCTGAAGATACTCTTGAAAAATCAGAGTTGGCGGCTCAATTCCTCCAAGAAAAAAAGTTTCTCTTCACTGTTGAAGAAATGAAAAGGTTTACTTCAGAAGAAATTGAAAGGCTGAGAGCAAGCGGTCTTCTCCATTGCGGTCCTCAGTTTAGGAAATCTTTTTCAGAAACGACAAAATATTTTTGTTTCACCCACCTAACCCTCCAGGAATACTTAGCAGCTCGTTGGCTCGTGAAGAGAAAAGAAATTCCCCCAAGAAGATATGTCACAGATGTTATTTCAGTCTATGTCCGGCATTTTATCAAAGCAAAAGGACAGTGCCTTCATGGAAGAATTGCTTCATAGACTAAATCAGATGTTTGGACATGGATTCGGTGGGGAACTGCTGCGAATGAAATGTCTCACTGAGTATCAAGATTTAGAGTTTGCACAACATTTCGTAAAGATACATCATAATCAATTTTGTAATGATGAGGACGGATTTAAATTGAATGACTTGTCTGATGTAGACTGCATTTCTTTGTCTTTTCTGTTAGAAGTTCTGAGTGCAGTTAATGAAGACGAATCCAGTACAAAGAATCCACCTCCTGATCAGCAGTCGAGTATACCATTGCCGTTGAATCGCTTATTTTTCATCTGTCCTTTATTTACACAAAGTGGATTCAGCCGAATCCTAAGAGCGCTAACAAAGAAACAATGCCCCATTGTAAGGTTGGTGATCCACGATGGTCTTAGGTGGAGTCAAGAATGTAGTGATACCATAAGGAAACTACTGCCTCTCACTGAAATAACCATCCTTTCTCTGAAATATATTCAAGTCACCGATGCCGATGTTGTCAATTTATGTCAAGCATTACAGACACCAACATGTAAACTCACCACACTTCATCTGAGTGTAGATCAGATCACCGATGCCGCTGTTGTCAGTCTTTGTCAAGCATTACAGACACCAACATGTAAACTCACCACACTTCATCTGAGTGTAGATCAGATCACCGATGCCGCTGTTGTCAGTCTGTGTCAAGCATTACAGACACCAACATGTAAACTCACCACACTTTATCTGAGTGTAAATCAGATCACCGATGCCGGTGTTGTCAGTCTATGTCAAGCATTAAAGACAGCATCCTGTAAAATCACCAAACTGGACCTGAGTTGTAATCGGATGATCACCGATGCCGGTATTGTCAATCTACGTCAGGCAATAGAAACAGCATCATGTAAAGTCACCAAACTAGATCTGGAAGGGACTCAGATCTCCCGTCCTGTTTATCAGCATCTTAGAGATCTCTTGGCGGAAAATGCCGAACATTTGTTTCCGCGCGCCTTCAGAAAGTTAAAAGAAGAAGATGAAGGTGTATAAAATGTATTCTTAGAGAGTTAACAAACAATCCAAAGGAAATTGTAATAACCTTTCGTATACCTTTTGATTTACGTTACCTATAACACTGGATTCATTTAGTATATTCTATACAACAATATGTATAGGCATTCCCCAAAAATGGAATTTCAGTCGAGTGGGTGTTTTTCAAAAATTTGCAAATTTGTAAATTAAGACGGACTTTCGAGATTCAAACGAGCAATGTAGTAAGTTTTTAGCCGTTTGATCTAATTTTTAACCGTGCGCGGAGTCATGCAAACTGCCTTGAAGGCACGAAGAACCAAGCAAAGAGTAAAATTACTTGTGGCGAATATTTTCACTGAACTTAACCTAAAGTGACAGAAGACAGTACAGCGTTTAGTATGATCCAGATGTCTTGCTACAGCCGTGAGGTTTTCTGCCGAGTTTACTTTGAAATCGCTAACAATCATAAGAACAGATTCATCTTTCATTTTCAAAATATTAAAACATGTAATACTGTTTCTTTTTTAAAATGAAAGTTCGAATCAATGTCGTTAACAGTGCTGAGGTTATTTTTGTTCCAATTTCAAAGGCAGTAGATCTTTTTAGCTCATAATTATGTGTTTTGTAAAAATTGTTTCTTTCAAATTTCGTTCGATAGGTTGACATAATTTACAAAAGACAGATGGGGAAGGGGTGTAGAGTAATCATAGGTCAAGAGCTCTAATTCATCTGTCTTTTATTCAGTGATCAAGATAGTACATTTACCATACAAATCTCGTAATTTTTCACAATATTTTCACTTAGGAAAGTAGATTTGCAGCGCGACTGAGTAATAGGAAGTGCCATTACAGTAGTAACGCTATGTAACGCAATGTAATGCAATACACTACACGGGGAATTATCCTAAGACCCCAATTGAAAAAAAACAAAACAAAACGTACAGGCTAAAGAGGTCTCTCGATCATTCAGACGATCAAATAGTGAAAGAAAGCAAGCTAATCTAGACCCATAAGGGACATTAGGCCCTCAAAATTGCTGGCTAGAATCTCGTCTAGATATCGCTGGTACTCATCTCTTTTCCTGGGTGAAGATCTAAAGAATCAGATCACCGATGCCGGTGTTGTCAGTCTATGTCAAGCATTACAGACACCAACATGTAAACTCACCACACTTAATCTGCGTGGAAATCAGATCACCGATGCCGGTGTTGTCAGTCTATGTCAAGCATTACAGACACCAACATGTAAACTCACCACACTTTATCTGCGTGGAAATCAGATCACCGATGCCGGTGTTGTCAGTCTATGTCAAGCATTAAAGACAGCATCTTGTAAAATCACCACACTTGATCTGACGGATGATCTCATCGGATGATCACCGATGCCGGTATTGTCTCTCTACGTCAGGCAATAAAAACAGCATCATGTAAAGTCACCAAACTAAATCTGGAAGGGACTCAGATCCCCCGTCCGCTTCATCGGCATCGTAGGGATCAGTTGGCGGAAAATGCCGAACATTTGTTTCCGCGCGCCTTCAGAAAAGTAAAAGAAGAAGATGAAGGTGTTTAAAATGTAGTCTTTGTGAGTTTACAAACAATCCGAAGGAAATTTTAATAACCTCTCATAAACCTTTTGATTTACGTTACCTATAACACTGGATTAATTTAGTATATTCTATACAACAATACGTATAGGCATTCCCCAAAAATGGAATTTCAGTCGAGTGGGTATTTTTCAAAAATTTGCAAATTTGGAAATTAAGACGGACTTTCCAAATTCAAACGAGCAATGCAGTAAGTTTTTAGCCGTTTAATCTAATTTTTAACCGTGCGTGGAGTCGTGCAAACTGCCTTGAAGGCACGAAGAACCAAGCAGTGAGTAAAATTACTTGTGGCGAATTTTTTCACTGAACTTAACCTAAAGTGCCAGAAGACAGTACAGCGTTTACTATGATCCAGATGTCTTGCTACAGCCGTGAGGTTTTCTGCAGTTTACTTTGAAATCGTTAACAATCATAAGAACAGATTCATCTTTCATTTTTAAAACATTAAAACATGTAATACTGTTTCTTTTTTAAAATGAAAGTTCGAATCAATGTCGTTAATTGTGCTGACGTTATTTTTCTTCCAAACACTTTTCAAAGGCAGTAGATCTTTTTAGCTCATAATTATATCGATAGGTCGACATAATTTACAAAAGACAGATGGGGAAGGGGTGTAGAGTATTCATAGGTCAAGAGCTCTAATTCATATGTCTTTTATTCAGTAATCAAGATAGTACATTTACCATACAAATCTCGTAATTTTCACAATACTTTCACTTAGGAAAGTAGATTTGCAACGCGATTGAGTAATAGGAAATGGCATTACAGTAGTAACGCTATGTAACGCAATGTAATGCAATACACTACACGGGGAATTATCCTAGGACCCCAATTGAAAAAAAAACAAAACATACAGGCTAAAGAGGTCTCTCGATCATTCAGACGATCAAATAGTGAAAGAAAGCAAGCTAATCTAGACCCATAAAGGACATTAGGCCCTCAAAATTGCTGGCTAGAATCTCGTCTAGATATCGCTGGTACTCATCTCTTTTCCTGGGTGAAGATGTAAAGAAACACTATGAAGGGGTGTTTTTCATTAGTACTCGCAACGGCCTCATCCTTGAATTTTTTCTCTGAAGTTTAATAGTCCAGGTGAAATAAAGACTTTCAAAATAGCGGTTAACAAAAAGTTGTAACGCATTTGCAGATCTCTGCGGATAAAAAGCGAAACAAAACAAAGGGTTACATAGGATGATGGAAATAGATGAAATAGGCTAAATTCGTTTTCCTATTCAGAGGTGAGTCACCGTGGAAAAAAAGAAATTACAAAGGCATCAAAAACTCCTTAAATGCCACATTTATACATCTGTACGCGCAAGCTGATGCTTACCAGAGTAAGGCAAATTTAAGCCCTGGATCC